TTCTTTCTTTCTTTCTTTCTTTCTTTCTTTCTTTCTTTCTTTCTTTCTTTCTTTCTTCCTTTCTTCCTTCCTTTCTTTCTTTCCTTCCTTCTTTCTCTTTCTTTTTATTTATTTTATTTTCAGTTCCGAATTCTGTCCCTCCCTCTCCTCCCCCACCCATTGAAAATGCAAGAAATAAGATAACCACTATTCATGTGAAGTCATACAAAACATATTTCCACATTGACTATGTGGCCAAAAAGAAAAAAAAATGAAAAAAGTATGCTTCAGTCTGCACTGAGTTTCAGTTCTCCCTCTGGAGAGGGAGAGCATTTTTCATCATTAGTGCTTCGGAATTGTAGTGGATCATTATATTGATCAGAGTAGCTAAGTCTTAATATGAAGTCTTTTCTTTTTAACCTCTATGTCTGGGTGGAGATTGTAGACTTCTGATCCAGACAACTATCTAATTTAGGATCAGACATTCCCTAAATCCTTTTTGGGCTAGTAGGGAAATGAATTTAAGCCAAAACAAAAGGTAAACTAAAGAGGCAAGGTTATTATTTTCTAACCACCTGGCCTACATTCCTACCTTTATTATGCAGATCTATCCTCAGCAAACCCAATAATGGAATAGGCAAGGCCACAAGCATTTATATAACATCTACTGCTTCAGGGATAGTGCTAAGCACTTTACAAATGTTATCTTATTTGATCTTCACAATAAGCCTGGGAGGTAGGTGCTATTATTATCTTCATTTTACAGTTGAGGAAATTGAGGCAGACAGCTGTTAAGTGACTTGCCCAAGGTCAAACAGCTTAGTGCCTGAGGCAGGATTTGAACTCAGGTCTTCCTTACTCCAGGCCCAGGACTGTATCCATTGTGTCACCTAAATGTATCTTCTTACCACCAGAAAAATCTTGCTATCTTCTTAAAGATATGTTGAGGAATAATTAGTAAGCTAGTCTATAGTGTAGTATTTGTACAGGAATTAGTAGCAGATAACTAGAGAGGTAGGCTGATTCCAGATTGTGACAAGAAGAATGCCAGGCTATGGGGGTGAGGGGAAGAGGAGAAGAGATAAGTGCCTGAAGGAGGATTCAAACTTGGGTCTTCTTGATTCAACTCTAATACTCTATCCCAGAGGTTCCCAAACTTATTTGGCCTACTGCCCCCTGGCCCCCCGGGAAATCTATTTTCTTTAATCCTTTAACAATTTTTTTTTGAATTTGCATCATTTCAAAAAATTATAATATATATTTTTAAATGATGCATCTTAAATTTAATAATTTGTTGAAATTTGTGTTTTTTTCTGGCATTGAAATTTGGATGATTTAATATTGCATCATATAGCTGTATAACATTGTATTGCAAACAAGTCATTATATGCGCATATTTCTGCGGATGCATGCTGGACTTCCTAACAACGTGCAACAGTGCTCTCCTGCCAACACTTAGTTGTTAAGACCTGTCAGTAGACTTGACCTCTGATCAGTTATAACTTGCATTTTGTATGTTTATTTGGAAAATAATGTAATCACTACGATTTTAACTGTTACACAACAGATGAAACATGTATGAACGTTTTCCAAAATTTTCTTATGTTCTCTTCTTTCCTTATGCTTTCACTGCCCCTTTATTTTTATTCAACGCCTCCCAACTGCACCCGAGGATACTACCTTCCCCCCATTGTTTCAGGGTCCCCCCCACACCGGGGGGCAGTATCACCCTCTTTGGGAACCTCTGTATCCCCTACACTGCCCAGCTGCCCCTGTTGGCAATGGGGAGCCATTAAAGGTTTTTGAGTAGGCACCAATGTGGGTAAAATGAGATTTTAGTAAAATTAGCTTGGCTATATATGGTTTGTAGGACACTGAAGGGAGGAGGGACTTATAATTATAATAATCTGGACAAATAATAAGAGCCTGGTCTACAGTATTGGTATTAAGTATGGAAAGGAAGAAACTGGTGAGAGAGACCTTTCAAAGGAAGAATCTCTTGTTCCACCACTGATGGTTCTATACATCCCACCTGTTATCTGCTGGAATACAGAATGTTCAGAAGTTTATACTTGAGGCCACTTATCAGACACATCCAATCTGGAATTTCTACATACATCAGACACCAAGCCCTCTGAGCTGATAACTTGAACAGTGTCTGGAGTCAAGGGATGAGTATTCAATCTCAGTTACTTGTTGTTTCTTTTTTCCCCTCTTAGAAATCAGAAGATGAATTCCCAGGATGAACAAACAGTGGAAACCAAATCCTCTTTTGAGATTGTAACCAACAAGGAGGACTTTGTGTCACAGAAGGATGGTAACAGCCTTGATATTTTAAAGGAAAAATTGCTCTCCCCAAACCAAAACCCAGAACAGGAAATGACTGAATTGAAAGAAATAGCTGCTACAGTTATTTCCCCAGAGTCATCAGAAGCTGGAATCTAGTGAGATTATGGAGAGCTGAAAAATGAAAACGGGAGTATTTTAAACACCAGGTGCCTGCTTAAATCGAAGTTCTGCCATAGACATCATGTTAGCCAAAGATATGTAAACAGTAGCTAGGGGCCAGATATTTTGTACTTAAGTAAAACTAAAGGATAAATCACAAATTTAAATGCTGTTATTTTTCTTTAAGAATTCTTTATTAAAATGTTTCCAGAAGTGTTCAACAAAACTTGCATATGTATTCAAATGGTTAAATGCACACAGATGTGAACAAAACTGCAATGAACTGTATGTACAGAGAGGCATAGCCAAAAGTGGCCTGACCCCGAGGACACACATTCCTGATGAGTCTCTTTCATATTGTCCTTAAGCTATAAAGGCAGGGCCAAATAGCTTATGGAAAAATAAGTTTTATTGACAAAAAAAATGTTTTAAGGATCAGAGTTCTGCCTAAGCATAGCTGTGATTTGGTAGAATGCATTTCTAAATCCAAACCAGTTTAGGTAATGGTACTTTGTATGGTGTTTGCTCTCTGTGTCAACAATGCATCATTTTTAGTGCTGGGTGTTCTTTCCCTTAAGGATTTTTTTTTTTTTTTTGCTAGTATGACGTCAGTGGGAGACTCTGTCCTGAGTAAGGCTATTGGAAGATCCCATATGGCGTCTGGAGAGCGACTCAAAGATGGAAAAGAATAAGGTGGAAATGGATGCTAAAAAACAAAAAAAAAGCAAAAAAAACCCCAAACAGTGCTTCATATACCCATATACATTCAGCCTGCAAACTCTCCACTGTCACCTAAGAATAAATAAGGACTCTTCCTTCTTCCACATACACTTTTCAGACTGCATTTCTCTATGAGCTTTCTTGCTTTCTCTTCAAGTCATCTTTGGAAGGTCTATTTTAACCCAAAATGGAGGGGCACACGCTGTGTTTCAATCACGCCCCTATCATGTGCCAGGCACCATACTGTTTGGCCTCTGGCCCTTCATGGGTATGGACCACAAACCAACGCCTCCATACGACTGGCCAAATTCAACAGTTGCTCTTCTCTTGCCTTCCACCAGGGGTCGCTCAAAGCCCAAAGTTTTCCCCCATAGGTAGAGAGTCAGAATCTTTTACTTTGTAGCAAAGAGCCCAGCTTCTGGTTGTATTTCAGGGACCACATCTGGCCACTGTAACTCCTAAAGTTAGGGAGGGAGGCAGGAAGTGGGGTGGGGGTAGAGGGTGGGGAAGAGGTACAGAGCCTTTGAACTCGACCTCAAAGGCAGAGATTCCTCAAGTTTCACTCCGCTTGTTTGTGAGACCGGCCTCAGACTCTGCCTTTGCCTTCCACAGCCCACAGCTGTTCTCCTCCAAGGTCACAGCTGCTTCAGTTGCCTTGGAAACTGGAATTTCATGGATTGCAGGAGCAAGATCATACACGCACAATCACACACACACGGTCCGCTCTCCAGACAAGGGGGCTGTGAACTGCTTTGTGGGGAGCTGCCCCAGTCAAGCTGAACTATCTCAGTGCCAACCACCCCAGAACTCTCATTCCAGAAGTAAATTGGGGGGAGGGGCTGGGAGTGGGAACCACTCAGTCAGGGGGAGAGTCTGCCCCAAAGGGCTCCGTCCCTTCATCCTGACAGGCTGAACTGATGGGCACAGTTCTATTAGCTGTCCCTAGGTTTGCTCCCACTCATACTGCCCCTTTTTTTTGCCTCTCATATAGTTGCCCCTTGCAGTGGGGGTGGGGGTGGATGGCGAGGATCTCAGAAGATCTTGAAGCCTTTTAGTAGGGTCAAGGTGGGAGCCTTGCGCTTGCTCTGGGCCCGGGATGACTTGACCGTCACCAGCTTGGCCTGGGCCACAGTAGGCATCTCCTTGTAGTTGACAGTAGAAAGGGTGTTGAAGGTGCAGCTAGGCAGGCCATGCTTGGCAGTGAGGGGGGCCTGATGGAAGATGGACCTTTCCTCAGAGATGAAAAGAGGCCGGGTGGGTGCGTTCCTCTCCTGCTCCCTCCGTACCTCCCGGATGGCTTCATGGAACACGTGCTGCACGGCTTCGAAATCCAGGCAGGCAGAGACCTCGTAGAACATAAACCCAAACTTGCTAGCCAGAGTCATGCCCTCTGACTTGGTGACTTGCCTGGTGAGGAGAACAGAAGGGAGTGAGAATGTTCAGGGGCAAACAACCCTCCCCAAAGGGGAAAATTCTGGACCCAGTGAAGTAGCCTACAATGGGGGGATCTAGGCTCTACTTCAAGGTAGAACTCCAAAACTGGACCCTACCTTTGGCCTGGAGAAGGCCTCCTCTAGCTACATGTCCCTGGTGTGAGTGCAGACTGGAATCCTGGAGGAAATAGTGCTGAAGGCAAAAGTGATGGAACTCGAGTTAGAGGACCTGGTTGTGCTGTTTGTTACCTGTGTGACCTCAGGCAAATTACGTAACCTCTCTGGGCCTCAGTTTCCTCCTCTGTAAAACAAAGTCTTCTAAAGTCCTTCTGGCCCTAAATCTATGATCTCATGAGTCTGTTGAGGAAGAGGGAAAAAAGAGATGATTTGTGCATCATAGATGGAGGTCCCCTGGTCCCATTCTCTCCTTTTTACATGAGGAAACTAAGGCCGATAGAGGTGAGATGACCTTTCCAAGGTCCCATGGGTAGCACGTGGCATAGTTGGGATTTTAACATAGGACCTCCGACCACAAATCTAATTCTTTTCCCACTAAACATACTACCTACATAGTTGTTAGAGTTCAAAGAAGATTAGTCACTAGTGTCTAATGTATATATAGGGGGGTGAACAATGGGAATGAAGTGGAGGGTGGTGGGAGAGGAAAAGAATTCATAGATGCGTGAGAAGGCTTATATGAACTGATTCAAAATGAAGTAAGGTGAACCAGGAAAACAATATATACAATGACTATAATAATGTAAATGAAAAGAACAACAAAGACACAGTCCTCACAGCCTTGAGTTTGGGAAAGATCCCTAGGAATAATACAAGAATGATACAGACCACAATTATATGTAATTATAAAGACCAAGCTTGTCCCCAAAGAAGAGATGAGAAAATACACTTCCCTTCCTTCAATGGAGAGAGAAGGGACTATGGGTGTGGAATACTGCAAAGGTTGGGGAAACCCAGCTGATGACTTGGTTAGTTTTGCTATACTGTCCTCTTTTTATTCCTTCTATGGCTTCTTTTTTAGTTGTTACAAGGGATGGTCCTCTGACTAGGGAAGAGAGAACAATATATTTGGAAATGAAGCTATAAAAACAAGAGATATTCATAAAATAAAATAAAAATAGAATGGGGAGGCAGAGTGAGCAGCAACCTCTATGAATTGTTTTGTTTTTGTTGTTGTTTAGTTATTTTTCAGTCATGTCTGATTCTTCGTGACGCCAATTGGAGTTTTCTTGGCAAAGATACTAGAGTGATCTGCCATTTCCTTCTCCAGCTCATTTTTACAAATGAGGAAACTGAGGCAAATAGGATTAAATAACTTGCCCAGAGTCACACAGATAGTATCTGAGGTCAGATTTGAAGTCAAGAAGATGAATCTTCCTGACTCTAAGCCCAGTGCACCATTCTACCCCTCCCATCCTCTCCTTCATTTACCCCTTTACTGTATACAATTACTGGGAATAGGGTAAAAGGGGAAGGGAAGGGTGGGAATGATTCATTGATTACTGACAACAAAAGTAATAACAAAGAAAATTAACTCAGACTGAACAATGAGTCTGACCAGAATCCTCACGGTAATACCAGCAAGTAGGGAGAATGAGGACAGGAAGAGATTAGGAGGAAACAGTACATGGCTTTCATTTGCTCCTAATAAGCAGGCTAAACATTTCCAGGGGTCTGGCCTTCCCCCAGAGAACAGGAAGTGGTTCTACTCCCTCTAAAATACACCGAGCTAAACTCAAGACTTTCTTTCCTGTTTCTTCCATGGAACAGGAGCCTCAAGAGCCTAGGGTGGGGAAGAGGGAATGAGAAATGAGAGAGAAGTGAGTAAAGAGAAAGTATTAAGAGACTGGCCCCAAAGATATTTTGCCAAGGTTTCAAGGTTAAAATTCCTCTGCACGATGACTGAAGATTTCCTTATGCTCATCCTACACAGTCCCCACAATCCCAGCCTGGGAAAGAATCCTAGGAACAATATGGGAATGATACAGACTTGATTGTGCAGAAGAGAAGGAATAAAAAAGAACAGCACAAAAGTCTTGTCATCTATCACTTAACATCCAATTCAGCCAATTCTGGGCACAGAGGGGATTGTGAGTCTGAGATCGGGCTGGCTGACCCACTAACCCTTGTTCAGCAACAAGGCCTGGGATGGGAAGGGGGCAGGGAGGTGGACTGAATGAGTGCCTGCTGTTAGATTGAAGAAATCTCTGCCAAGAATATGCCCTGACATCAGAAATTCCTTCCTTCCTTCATTCAATGAGCATTTGACATGTCTGGAGCAGAAGAAATCAAAGGGAGAGAAAGAGATCAATAGAATGGTCTGCTCTGAGTGAAATGACCTCTGTGTATCCATTACTGAGACAGAAGCCGTCGAACTGAAAGTCGATATCTATATATCCCACACAGGCAAAGCAAAATTGACTCTTGCTTTAAGTGAAAGCACAATGGCCCCTGAGCTCAGCTGGCCCAGGAATGAGGTGTCCTCCTCCCACCCCACCCCCACACGGGGACAATAGAACAGTGACAACCAAGAGTCAGGAACTGGCTAAAAGAAATTCAGAGAATCCTAGAACTCTAACGGAAGCTTAGAAATCATCTAACCCACAATTCTCACCCAGTGTAGGAATTAATCCCCTTTATAACATCCCTGAACAACAACTATGGAATCTAGCCTTTCCAAAAATGCCTCTAAATATGGGAAGTTCACTATATCATGTGGCAGCCCATTGTCTTTCAGGATAACTCTAGTTGCTGTAAAGTTTTTCTTTCATTCCTCCCTCCTTTCCTTCCTTTTTTCTTTCCTTCCTTCCGTGTTTCCTTTCCCCCTTTCCTTTCCTTTCTTTTTCTCTTCTCTTTTCCTCATCTTCCTTTCCTCAATTTTATTCCTTATTTCCCACCCACCCTTCTTCCTTACTCCTTTCTTTTTTTTTTTTTTGAAACACCCTTTGTTTTATTGAGCCAAAATTCAACCCCCTGAATTCCCACCAGTTGGATCTAATTTTGGCCTCCCCAAACAGGAAAAGTCTATTTTGGATTAGTAATAACTGCCATTTACATAGCACTTTAAGCTTTTCAAAACAGTTAACAACATCTCCTTCTCTGATCTTCACAACACTGTAAAGCATATGCTGGGATGAGGAAACCCAGACTGAGTCTCGTCCAGGGTTGTTGTTAATAAACGTCTGAGGCAGGATCTGAATCTACGTCTAAGTCCAGCATTCTATCTGTTTCTGTGTTACTCCATGCTGCCTTTCCCAAAGCTGTCTTCTATATGAGACAGCCCTTTAAAATATTTCAAAAGATCTGTAATATCTTCCTTTCCTTAGTCTTCCTTCCTCTAGACTAAACATCCCTTGTTCCAGCAACCATTTCTCACAAGACATAACTTTTAGATCTTTTTCTACCTTCCTCTGGACTCTCGCTTATTTTTTAATGTCCTTGCTAAAAGGTGGAATCCAAACCTAAACACAGTACTTATGATGTGGTCTGATCAGAATAGAGTGCCAAGGATGATTATATTATGTAATATGAGATGGCAAAATGCCAGGATACAGCACTGGGCCTATAGTCAGGAAGACCTCAGTTCAATTCTGGCCTCAGACACTTACTAGCTATGTGAGCCTGGGCAAGTCACTTAACCCTGTTTGCTTCAGTTTCCTCATCTATAAAATGGGGATAATAATTACACCTACCTTGCAAGGTTGTTGTAAGAATCAAACAAGATAATATTTGTAAAGTATTTAGCATAGTGCCTGGCACATAATATGTGCTATAGAAATGCTAACTATTATCATTATCATTATTGTTGTTGTTGATGATATTATTATTATCTATGATCAGAACACCATACTTCTATCCATGGAGCCCAAGACTGTTAGGTTTTTCATTTTTGTTTTTGTTTTTGTTTTTTTTTCAGTCAAAGACAAGGTTTATTAGAACATCCATCATATTGGGCAGACTCTTAAGGAGTCTGAACATTTGTATGCTATTGGCTAGATTTTAAGAATCTGAGCAATGGCTGGATTATAAGAATCCCAGCAGTGGCTAGATTATAAGAATCCCAACATCTTAATGGAGACAAGGTGGACCTTATATACAGAAAGACTGTGGGAGGGACCTAGGAGTAGCCATTAAGCTGGAATGAACAGAACTCCTGGGACCTGGACCTCGTGGCCAAGGGAGAATGGAGCCTAGCTAGGAAGACAAAGGAAGGCCAGGCTAGATGAACAGAATTGGGAGATTGGGTGTAGCCACAATGAAAGGCCAATTGATGGGATTATAGCCTCTGGCAAACGCCAGAGATTTGGCCATGTGGGAAAGTCCAGGGTTTTTTCTTTCTGGGGTCCAGATCCCAACCCCATTATTTCCCCCTCAAACAAATGGGACCCAAATTCTTTTGGAGTAAGGGAAATGACAGAAAATGCTATCCACATCCAAAGAAAAAACTATGGAGTTTGAATACAGATCAAAGCATACTATCTGTTATTTTTTTCTTCTGTTGTGTTTTGTTTCCTCTTTCTGGTGGTTCCTCCTATTAGTTCTAATTCTTACTTACAACATCACTAATGTGAAAATTTGTTTAATAAGAATGTATATGTATAGCCCATATTAGATTGCCTGCCGTCTTGGGGAAGGAGGTAGGGAGAGAGGGGGAGAAAAATTTAAAACTCTAAAGCTTATGGAAGTGATTGTGGATAAATCAAAATAAATTAATAAAAAAATAGATTTTCAAAAATAATAAATAAATATTGCAACAACAACAACAACATCAACAAAAGGCTAGGATTCTTATGATCTAGCCACTGCTAGAATTCTTATAATCTAGCCTCTGCTTAGATTCTTATAATCTAGCCACTGCTCAGATTCTTGAAATCTAGCCAATAGCTTACTAATGTTCAGACTCCTTAAGAGTCTGCCCAATATGATGGACGTTCTAATAAACCTTGTCTTTGGCTGAAAGCCAGCTTAGGTCGAATTCTTTCAGGCAGGACCTGTGTGTTGTGATTTTGGGGTCCCAGGACCCCTGAACCCCTAAACCACATCATTTTGGTGGCCCGTATGGGGAAACTGCCTAACCCCAAGTTCTTCTCCAGCCAAGACTGGAAAGCATGTAAGCCTCACCCTCCCACCCCTTTCTTGCTTAAAGTTAGGGTTGCTCTCCAAGCACCAAGGCTCGGGGGTACTTTTCGGGCAGACAGTTACAAGGCTGTCTCTCACTCAGCCTGGCGCTCTCAGGCTCTCGGTCCACTGGGTCAGTTCAAGGCCATGGACCTGGGTACACCTTCCGCAGCATAGAGGACAAGGACGGATGCTCTATCTGGAAGTGTATGCTCAATTCTGTTAATTTCCTCGGTGCTAGGGAATTGGGGGAAACTGCAGTTGCTTTTTGGTTCTCTGAGGCTTACTTACTCCCTTCCCTCTGCACCTCTGAATCCTCCTTCATGGAGGTAACAGGGAAAGTTAGAACAGCTAAAAATATCTTGGCAGATTCTGTAGATTTTGTGATTGATCATTAAGGAGTTTTGAAATACCTGTACAACCTGATCACTCCCTTCCCTTGAGTCAAGAGGGTATCTGTTAACCCCTCTCATAGTTTTTTTTTTTAAGTGACTGCATCATAATGTTGATTATATTAAGTCTGAGGTTAACTAAGACCCCTTAACCTTTTTCACATTCAGCCAGTTCTAGACACAGATGGGGCGTGAGCCTGAGATCAGGCTGGCTGATCTACCAACCCTCGTTCAGCAACAAGGCCTGGGATGGGATGGGGACAGGGATGAGGAATGAATGAGTGGCCCCAAGCCAGGTCTCCCTTTCTCTCTCTCTCTTTTTTTTGGGGGGGGGAGGGACTAGGCAATGGGGTTAAGTGACTTGCCCAGGCTCACACAGCTAGTAAGTGTTATGTGTCTAAGGACGGATTTGAACTCAGGTCCTCCTGAATACAGGGCTGGTGCTCTATCCACTGCGCCACCTAGCTGCCTCCAGGTCTCCCTTTCTCAAACCTTAGTGATTCACTTTTTGGTTCTAAATTCAGAACTTTACATTTCCTCCAACAGACTTTGTATTAGTGGTTTTGTTCAAGAACTTCATCCTAATAATCATGATTCCAACATCCATTCTATCAGCAGTCCTTCACAGTCTGTGCCGTCTGAAAGAAAATTTGTTTTCATCTGAAAATTTGATGGACATGACTTCCCTTCTTGGCGGAAATGGGGAACATTGTACATACTGGCATACTTGGTTGATGTGTTAATTTTGCTAAGCTGCTTTAAAAAAATTCTTTGTTGCAAGATTCACTGGTAGGGGAAAGGGAAAGATATATTCAGAAATAAAGATAATATAAAACAAAAGATATCAATAAAATGTTTAATTTGCTGGGCATGCCTTCTACATCTTCCTGACTTCAGGCCTGGCACTCTATCCACTTTGCCATCTAGCTGCCCTTAAAATAAAACAAAAAGCTTAAAAATGTAAAAACCATCCTTAGCTCACCAGCTGTACAAAATCAGAGGGCAAGATGCATTTGGCTCTAAGGCCAGAGTTTGCCAACCCTCAGCCTAACTCCTGGTTTCTCCAAGGCCATGTAAGCAGCAGGCCTGGAATTTAAGCTCCCGTTATGGACTCCAGATTCTGTTTTTGGGCCAGTACATTGTAGCTGCCTCTCTAGGGAAAGACAAGCGGCAAATCTACGGTACTATCCAGCTGACATCCAGGAGGACAGCAATAACTTCATGACATTGCTTGCCTAAAATTAAGTTACACCACATCTATGGCATGCCTCATCTATTGACCCCATGACCCTTTCCTAAAAGGAAAGTAAGTTGATCAATGAACTCATACTGGCACCTAGTGCACATTGCATGATGTTCTAAAAGTCTGCAAGGTTTCTAAATACAAATATAGTTTTTAAACTGTTTGACAGAATTTTCAAGCTTAGAGATTTCTAGTTTCCAGGATGCACTCTTTCCCCCCTTTTGCAAAATGGAACAATATTTGCCCATTCTAGCATATCTCTTCATTTGCCATGATTTCTTTTTTTCTCCCCCAAGGCCTGATATTTTTTTTAAAGGCAATTGGGGTTAAGTGACTTGCCCAGAGTCACACAGCTAGTAAATGTGAAGTGTTTGGTCTGAGGCCGGATTTGAACTCAGGTCCTCCTGACTTCAGGGCCGGTGCTCTATCCACTGCACCACCTAGCTGCCCCCCAAGGTCTGATTTTTCAAAATTTATTTTTAATTTGTAGATTTTTTCCTAAGGTCTGATTATTTTTTAAAATTTATTTTTAATTTATGGATTTTTCCTAAGGTTGATTATTTTTTTTTATTTATTTTTAATTTATGGATTTTTCTAAGGTCTGATTTTTTTTTTAAATTTCCTTTTAATTTATGGAATGATTTCTTAAATTACCTACAGTGGCTCTGGGAGCATATTTGCAAGCTCTTGAAGCAACGTGGGACATAATTTGTCTAGGCCCAGAGACTTAAGCTCATTTAAGGTGGAGCTCTCATCTCTTACCTCCATACCTATCTTGACCTGCAGTTTTTTCATTATATTGCTTAATGTGTTCTTTCCAAGTTTAAAGGGCTCCTTCCCATCTGACAATTGGATTTTAGGGGCTCAAATACCCAAAGTAACTAGCAATCAGTGAGGAGGTGGGAGGCAGGGTGGCCCCTGTAAAATGAATGAATGAATGACTATTAACTCTCTCTGGGAATAAACATCCCCTTATCCCTCCCCTCTACCCCGTCTCCCCCTCTTCCTCCTTCAGCTCTTTGGACAATAGTATAGGGTTTTGCCTATTACGTTCTTGACAAAGAGAGGCATTATGGTATATGGATACTTACACACATACTAGATTTTATGCCCTGTGATTTTTTTTTTTTGGCTGTTCATGGTAAAGATACAACTGTAATCTTGGATCTCCCCATCCCCTCACCCCACAACATTTCTGCCTCCTGTAGACCCCACGTTAAATGCTGAATTGTATGTTCTACATTAGATTTCTACATTCTTTAGATGGTAGAGAGACATGCTGCTACATAGCTATAATGCTGACTTCCAATGCCCAATGGCTCTGCCTACCTAGTGTGGACTCTGTATGAATCAGAGAGTACTGTAACCAAAGTGTCTGCTCCTCGCCTCGTCTCCCAGGTGATAGAACTCTGTCTGAAGTCCATCAGATTTGCCACCTAGTCCTTCTGTCTGGCTGTTGGAGAGAAACAAGTAGATTACAGGTCCATACCGGTACTGGGCCATGTCCAGCTTGTTCCCTAGAAGCAGCACAGGGGAGTCATGCTGGGTCTCCTTTGCATGGTGGGTGATGATCTCCAGGTATTGACTACAACCCTCAAAGTTTCGCCGGTCATCAATACTGTAGACAACGAGAAAGGCGTGGGCCCAGCTTAGGTAGCGTTTACAGTTTCTGGGGACATCCTGGGGGTAAGAGAGAAGAGCAGATGAGACACGGGGTGCTCTCAGGCCTCAATCTGAGAATGGAAGAGGCTAAGTCCCCAGCCTCACCTAAGGTGCCCCTGCCCTATCTCTCCTCCCTTCGGGCCTTTGTACATTGTTCCCCAGCTGAGGCCATTTCAAAGCAACCTTTGAATCTGGATTTGGCTTGGCGTGAAAGGGGCCATTGTTCTCTCTCCTGCCAGAGAAGAGCAGACACCAGATCCTGAGGGCCAGCAGCCAAAGGCTCTAATGTCACCAACCGTGAGACCTGACCATCCATGGGTGGCCCTGGGTGGCCCATTTGTATATAACTTTGCCTTCTTGGAAATCTTGCTTGAGAGAGACAATTTGCAACTTTGGCTTGTTTTTAGGAATATTTTTAAGATTCCTATGTTGCTCACAAAATTCTTTTGAAAGGCAAGGAAAGAAATGTGGCTGCGGAATCATGGAATCATGGAGTGAGGAGGGACCTCAAAGGACAATTAGTCCAACGCATACCTGATGGAGAATTCCCTAATACAATAGAGCCAACAAGCGGTCATCCAGCCTTCACCTTTAGTGAAGGGGAACCCACTACTTCTCAAAGCACCCCATTCCACTTTTAAATAGCTCTAATGGTTAGGAATTTTTCATTAAGGTTAAACCTTAATTTGCCTCTGCGGTTTCCATCCATTCCTTCTCGTTTGGCCTTCTGGGGTCAAACAGAACATGTCTATTTTATAATGATGATGATTGTTAGCATTTATAGAGTGCTTTAAGGTTTGCAACACACTTTACAAATATTCTTATTTTTTTCACAACAACCCTGGGAGGTAGGTGGTATGATTATCCTCATTTTACAGATGAGGAAACTGAGGCATAGAGCGGGTAAGTGACTTGACCAAGGTCACCCAACTCACTGAGTGTGTTAAAGTAAGGACTTGAATTAAGGTTTTCATGATTCCAAATGCCATGCTCTATCCATTGAGTCATTTAACTACCACATGATAACTCTTCAAATACTTTAAGAAAACTACCATGGGGCAGCTAGGTGGCACAGTGGATAGAGCACCAGCCCTTAAGTCAGGAGGTCCTGAGTTCAAATCTGGCCTCAGACCAAACACTTGACACTTAATAGCTGTGTGACCCTGGGCAAGTCACTTAACCCCAAATGCCTAAAACAAAACAAAACGAAACAAACAAAAAAAAACCTATCATATACCCCGTGATCCTTCACTTCTTCAAGTTAATTATCCTCATATGGCATTGCTCACAGCCCTCCGGAGACCCAACAACCCTTGCTGAGGGGAATAATTGTTGAACGTATGTACATCTGTGGATGTGTACATGTTTATCCTTGTACAGCCATTTATTAGCATGTCTTTGTGGGTGCAGGAATGTGTGTGTGAGGCTTAAGAGATACTTAAATATCTGTTTATACTTCACTTCTCACCCAGGTGAGATCACCATCACTGTCCCAGTAACTACTACTTTGGATGACCACTGGGCTCTCTAATCATTCAGCCAATATTCTATTTAAAATGGCATAAAATTTCAGAGCAGAAGGGATCTTTGAACATAGACTAGGAGAGATGGGAGGGTCCTTAGAAGATAGAATATTAGAACTTAGAACATTAGATCTCAAAAGCCAGAATATTCACACGTAGAATGTCAGAGCTGGAAAGGAATCTTAGAAACCATGTAGTCTAACAGCCCCATTTTACAAAGGTAAAAACTGAAGCCCATAAATGAGCACATCACAGCATTCCCAAGAGACAAAGAAGGAAAGGGAAATGGTCTATTCTCATTTACAGAAGGTGACTGAGGCTCAGGGAAGGTTAGTGCCTTGTTCAGGATCATGCACGTGGAAGCTGAAAAGGACCAGCACCCTGTGCTGTGACCACTACTATTGTTAGCCCAAGAAATCCTTTTCTGGGGTATGAATTTAGGATGCTCCTTCCTCCCACTCCTTATCCAGGCCCCAAGGCTTCCTAGAGGGCATGGGGTCAAATCCTGGCTCTGTCATTTACTAGCTTTATGATTTTGGGCAAGTCACCCCATTGCCTTGAGAGATAACGAGTTCCCTTTCACTAGTGACTATCCAGAGAAGGCCTGATGACTGCTCCGGGTCTTGCTTCTTCACCTGTAAGATAATATGGTTGAATTAAATCAACTCCAAGGTGCCTTCCAGCTCTGAATTTATTGTCCCAGTCTCTCAGCCACACTCAGCACGGGCTAGTTCTTAGATGAGGGTCTTCGGCATTACCTGATCGGCAGTGTCCATCACTCTCAGCAGGACTGGTTGCTGGTCCACAGTCTCCTCTGAGGTATAGGTGTCTTCTGAAATACAGAAGTATTGGGCATATCAGTGGGGGGTGGGGGGGAGGGAAGGACTGTAAGGAGGTAAGAAACCTTTGCTTTCTATCATATATTGAGCAGAGGCCTGAGGGTTGGTTTGGGGTGCCATCCAAGACACTGACTCTGAGTCATCAGGCCTATGGGGCTGGGGCCTGGATGCTTTCTGCTGTTGTGATGGTCACCATTTTTCAGTCATAAACAGGTGTTCTGCCTTACTTGTAGCTCTACAGAAAGGCCCTAATAACCTTGCCAGCTAAAAATGGAGTTTCCACACCAGGCATTCCTAACAACAATAAAATGATAGGCTCCAGTCCAGATCAAAAGGCCAGCCCTGCAAGAACCTCTCCAAGGTTCACGTTGCCTCCAGACTCCTGCACGGACATATCACCAAGAGAACCACCTCACGTGGCATTGGGCTCTTTTCCATTGAGCAAAGTCCTTCCTGAAAGTAATTCTATCCAGGCGAGTGGCCCTTCAGGCCCAAGTCAGACTCAAATCCCTCATCTTCCAGGAAGCATTTTGGGATCATGATTTCACCCCCCTCTGCCTGCCCATGAGACTCCAAGCAAAGTGCCCTTCAGGCCGCTGTTTGGACTTACGTGACAAGGGCCTGTGTCAGGCCCTGGAAAACACACAAGCTTCGCTGACATCTAGCATAAATCATTAACAATCCTCATCCATCGCCTGCTTTGGGGGCTTATATAAATAGCTGTGATTATTTGACAAGAAATTCAATGGAAAAATGCCCCCAAATACTTCACTATATTTGGTCCAAGAACAGCTGTCCCTAGATTTTCACATCTCATTCAGTTTGTTTTATTTCCCTGCCAAAGTGGCCCAATGAGCTTTTTCTGGGACCTCCCAAAAGGCAAGGTGCTCCGTGCAGTCTCAGCAAAGACACTGGGCCAACCCTGATCAGAGATGCTTACTCCTCCATCCCTCCCAATATGCTTGGAGACAGACAGACAGAGAGAGAGAGAGAGACAGACAGACAGACAGACAGAGTCAGATGGAGACAGAGACAGATGGAGAAAGAGACAGAGAGAGATAGAGACAGACAGAGACAGACAGAGCCACAAATCCATGGATGATCCTAAACCCAGCATCCAGCATCTGACCATAGATCTAGAGGCCATCTAGTCCATCCCTCACCCAATTTTACAAATGAGGAAACTTGAGCACAGAGAGATTAATGGAGTAACCTAACATCACACAGCTAAGTTGTACCTGAGTTGGTATATGAACCCAGATCACCCAGTCCAGCATGCTTCTTGTCTCATTACTCCTCCTCAGAAGAGATCCCAGCCCCATGAATGGGCAGTGTAAGCAGCCACTTACCCAGAGTGATCTAAGTGACAACCCCCCCCAATACTTCTCTCAATAGCCTGTGCATGAAATTCCCACCATTAGAGTCCTCCCAAAAGTTATATAGAGTCACAGCAAATATGTTGGAAGGAAGGACCCTATTAGCACACGTTAAGCCCTAAACTCTGATTAATTTCTTAGATTAGAGAGTGGTTACCTAAGAAGGTACCCAAGATATCAGAAAAGATCTGTAATTGTTGAAACAGGGAGGAGAGAGGAAGGTCAGGGGTAAGGACCCCCACCTTAGGAGGCAGCTCAGAAGGCATAGGGGATACAGAACTGGACCTGGAGTCAGGAAGACCTGAGTTCAAATTCAGCCTCAGACACTTACTAGCTGTGTGACCCTGGGCAAGTCATTTAACCCTGTTTGTCTTAGTTTCCTTAACCGTAAAATGGCGATAATAGCACCTACTTCTCATGGTTTTTGTGAGGATCAAATAAGGTAGGTAATATTTGTAAAGTGCTTAGCACAGTGCCTGGCACATAGCAGGCACTTAATAAATGTTTGTTTCCTTCCTTTAGAAAGGCCAGGCTGATGGGGGTGGGGGGTGGGGGGAAGGTGGAGGTTGAGCAAACATCAGACAATGTGAGAGCCCTGGGATGCTATATAGATAGGGGGTGAGGAGGTACTGAGAAGGGTTTGGAGAAGGGATGGGCCTATGATAAACTTTGCCTGTTCCTCAGCTTGGGCTAGACCAATTCTCAGGACTCCAATCCTCTTTTCACCACCCCTTCTCCCACTTATATCTTTTTTCAGTGGACATTAGATCACATTTATCTAGTACTTTAAAATCTGCAAAGGCCATATGATTTCATTCTGTTTTCACAGTCCTAGAAGCAGGCTTTTTCAATATCTTCATCTTACAGACAAGGAAATGGAGGCCCAGAGAGTTAGTTAAGTGACTCATCCAGGGGCTATGCTTCAAACACAGGTAATGTCTGAAGTAGGATTTAAACCCCAGGTCTTCCTGACTCAAAGTCCAGTGGTCTCTCCATTAGTCCATAACAAGATCTATTTGGTCATTTAACTCCTCCTGGCCCCTGGGGCTTCCATTTTCTCTCCTACTATGGTGGCTCCCAGCTGATCTCCCTCCTCTGATCTCTTTGGGCTCTAATCCATCCTATACAATGGACACCACCACCAAATTAATTTTACTTTCATCTAGAACTTATCTAGAACTTGGAGAACCCTGGAGCCTCTAATAGAAAGTCAAAACTTCTTTGTCTCACTTTCTTTCTTTCTTTCCTTATTTCTTTCTTTTTTCCTTTCTTTTCTTTCTTTCCTTTCCTTTCCTTTCTTTCTTTCTTTCTTCCTTGGCAATGGGGATTAAGTGACTTACCCAGGGTCACACAGCTATTTGAACTCAGGTCCTTCTGACTCTAGGATCGGTACTCTATCCACTATCCACTAGCTTCCCCCTCTGCCTCACTTTCAAGGTCCACAATCTCATTCCTACCACTGGGACTTTGCTCATCAATTAATTCATCAACAAACATTAATCAAGCACCTAGTATTTGCCAGGCACTGTTTTAGGTCCTAGAGTACAGACACAAATATAACAGTCCCTGCCCTCAAGGAGCTTATATTCTATTGGGGTAAGAGAGACTATACATACATATGTAGCCATATACAAAACAGATACATTACTGTATATGTGAGCTACATACAAATAGATAAGATTTTAGTGGTGGGGGCCCTGAAACCTGTTGTTGTTCGTCCTTCATTTTCAAAGAGGACCAATGATGGGGAAGATCAGGACAGGTTTTATATATAAGGTGATACTTCAGGTGAGTTTTGAAGGAAACTAGCGGGTCTAAAAGAGAGGTGAGTGGGGAGTGCATTCCAGGCGTCTCCAGTACAAACAGGAATTGAAGTACCAGGTATGAGGTATAAGGCCAGATTGATGGGATCATTGAGTGTATGAAGAGAAGTAACTTAAAATGAATCTGGAAAAGTAAGTGGAGGCCTGGCTGTAAAGGGCTTTAAATACCACAAAAAGGGTTTATTTCTGATTCTAGAAATAACAAGGAGTCACTAAAGTTTGCTGAGTGGAGGAGTGCCATGGCCAGTCCCCCACTTTAGAAACACTTGGGCAGCTGTGTGGAGGATGGATTGTAGTAGGCTGAGACTTGAGGCAGGAAGACTGATTAGAAGACTATTGTAATAGTCCAGGTGAGAGGGCCTGAATTAGGGTTGTGGTCGTTCTGGTGGAGAGAAGTCCAGAGATGCTGTGGATTTTAAAACAACACAATTGAGCAACTGATTGGATGTGTGGAATGAGGGACAGTGAGGAAGTGACAATAACATCAACACCACAAACCTTGGCAACTGGAAAGAGAATGCCTCCCCTCTGGTGCTCCTTTCTTTGTCCTATGGCATCCTATGCATCCCTTCAGGCCCAAGTCAGACTCAAATCCCTCTTCTTCCAGGAAGCATTTTGGGATATTCCAGCCCATGCTGTTGTATATAGCTCCCATGACCCCTATGGTCTCTCCCACAGTGTGGCCTTTAGTTGGGACCATGGACTTCAGAGTTGGAGGGGTCCTTAGAGGGTCAGCCAATTTACCCTCTACCCTCCCCACCTTCTGGTGATCTCATCAGCTCCCATGAAGCTAATGATCATCTCTCCACAGATGCCCGACAAACCTACATGGCCAGCCCTGATCTTTCTCCTCAAATCCAGGTCTGCTTTGTTGAGTCCCTGTTGGACACCTTCACTGGATAGCCCGTTCATATCTCAAATTCAACATGTCTGAAACAGAAGTTATTATCACCCCCTCTCCTCCCTAAAGCTATCCAACTTCAAATGGCCCTGTTTCTGTTCTGTTTCACTTTTATTTTACAGTTGAGGAAACTGAGACACAGAGAGGCAAAAGGACTTGTCCAGGGTCACATGAGTAACAAAGTCAGGATTTGAAGCCAGGCCCTGTGACTCCAGAGTCACTCACTGTTCTTTTCTCTATACCACTGCATCTCTCATCGCTTTCTGGTTTTCTTCATGTTCGCTTTGTTTTCTAGCTAGAGGACGAGCTCTCTGAGGCCAATGACACGGCCTTCTTTTTCTCAGATACCATGTCCTACTTTTGCTGTTGTTGTTCAGTCATATCCGACTCTTTATGACCCTGTTTAGGGTTTTCTTGGGAAAGATGCTGGAGTGGTTTGCCATTTGACAGATGAGGAAACTGAGTCAAACAGGGTTAAGTGACTTGCCTAGACTAGTGACTTGCCCACAGCTAATAAGTGTATGAAGCCAGGTTTGAACTCAGGTCTTCTTGCAGGTGCTGGCTCTGTAGTCAGGAGGGCCTGAATTTTCAAATCTGGACTCAGACACTAACTAGCTGTGTCACCCTGGGAAAGTCACTTAACCCTAATTGCCTCCCCAACCTCCCAAAAAAATAAAAAAAATCCTATATTAGCAAAGTTTCCTCAAGTAACATAAACACTGCTTCTCAAACTTTCATGATTTTTTCCCTGCAGAAAGCTCCCACAAGTTTTTGAAAACAGAAGGCAGATAGTTATCCAAAGAGTCACAGCTCTTCAGAGATGACTCAATGGAAAAAGACTAGGCTCTAATTCTGGCTCTCTGTGAATCTGGGGCAAGTCACTTAACCTCTCT